ACACACACACACACACACACACACACACACACACACACACACACACACACGGTACAGGAGAAACAGGAAGACGCACAGACTTAGAGATCACACCCGCCAACTGCCAACACTCACAAAGCACCTACTGTACTTTTATTTTGGGGGGTTAGAATGCCAAAATAAAATACCTACAATGAATCTAGTATAAAACAGAATAAAATTCAAACACTTGCTTTTACTGTTTTCAGGTGTCTGTACCATTCAATGTGTCGAATAAAGGAGTGAGGGAAAGTAAGAAGTATTTAAAGGGCCAATATTATGTGTTTCTCAGGCATACATTTAAATAATATACCACAATAAAGTATCTCTGTCACCTTTAGCTGTTATTAAAATGCTGTTTTTTTTATTTAAATAGAAAATAAACTTATCTTCTCATCACTTCCTCTTCTAAACGCCTTGAAATTGGCCTCTGTCTCTTTAAGACTGAGTGAGAACTAATGCTGAGAGCTCAGCAGAAAGTTAAGTTTCACTTTCAGTTTCACCCAAGAGCCTGCAGGAGTTATGGGTGAGGTGTGTGGGGAGGGGGGAGGGGGTGCTCTCCCATGAGGAAGTTCAGCTTAAAGACACGTCCCAGAGGTCTTTCTGGTCCCAAAAGGTGTTTCTGGTCCCCACCTGTTGTTTTGCTCCTCAGCATGACTTCCTAAAAACACTGCAGGATTTCTCAAACATGCATGAATGAGTCAGAGCAAGGCTTTGGGCATTTTTTTTTATGAGAGTATAACATTATAACATGATATAAAACTCAAAAAAGTTGATTTTACATGATATTGCCCCTTTAATGCTTATTTTCCTCCCTTCGTTACATTTGTATAGCTCTTGTTAAAATAAGACACCAGATGGACTTGGTCAAAAAAAACAGTTTGATTAATCCATTCCCTCATTTTCTAATCAGAACTCGACCACTGAAGTGGAATTTGTTTAATTACAGCAAATTCTCAAGTTTGCTAATTCATTTTTAGATGAATATATATTTATACCCTACCAAAATAATAATAATTAAAAAAGCTGAGTAAAAAATGTTATATTTAGATGAGTGTCAGCAATCTTTTGAACTTTTATGTCTAAAAGAAATGTATCTTACCACTGGGGTTGAACTGCATGCAGGATATGGGTTTGTCGTGAGCTGGGAAGTGAGCCACCACTCCCTCTCCATCTGAGTCCTCGCTCACCAAGACCTGTGGTGTTTACGTGAGAACACACACACACACAAAGAATACAAATCATTTTCTGATGATGAAAACGATAAACAAAATGTGGGGCTTTCCCTCATATCATATCATCTCAGGCCTGAGCAGCGTTCTCTGACAGCTCACAGTGAAACAGCAGCAACTTCAACTCTGTTAACGTTTTATTGCCCTCTCATGGCACAAGTGAGCATTTTAAAATCTTGTGCTGTGTCCAAAAAAATAATAATTATCACGATTTTCAGCGCTTCAATAAATAAGGAGCTGAGCAGACTGTGAGCACATCTACACAGATGAGACACAAGTTCACACTGGAGGTGATCTGCCTGCAACATGTTGGCTTACACATCGTGGCAGGGTTTGATCCACCACATGTTTGAGTATAATCTAACACAAGCTTTATAGTCTTGACAGTTGCTTAGTGGGGAAAAAATGATGTTGTTGAATCCAGTTAAAATCAGACTCTGTAACAAACTTAACAAATATTCAGATACTTCAAATARGTGGCAGCTTCCTGTGACACTCGTCTCTGATTTCTGGCTGTGTCTCGTGATGCACAGATGGAGAGTCTTTATGGGTTTAAAACAGAGGTCTGCAACCTTTACAATCAAAAGAGCCATTTGTGCTCTTTGTCGCACTAATAAAATGTGTCCAGAGCCGCAAAACAAGCTACAACTGTGATTATAAACTGGTGGTCCATGGGCCTTTTCAAGGCCTTTTCGGGAACTTTTACGGTCAGTGAAGGTGACATTATAAAACTAAAGGAATATTGTTATTATTATTATATTATTTATTACTAAACACATCAGGACAAATAAAAAGAACATTTTCATGTAAAGAAAAATACTGTATATAGTTTATACTGAATTTCATTAAAAACTAGTACATCTGAATTATTCAGGCATATTTATTTTCTAATTCTTATTATTATAGTCTTCAAATTATTTAGAGGTAATTCTGATGGATTTGAAAGAGAAAGAAATCGGAATCTTTAAGTTAACAACAGGCTAGCATGAGCTAACATGCTACTTTTACATCACTTTTTGCATTATTAGCATTGATCACAGATTCTTCAAATAAGAAAAAATTGAGTCAAATCAAGTATTTCAAGAATCTTACCAAGTAAAATTTTCTTACTCCACTGGCAGAAATTTTGACTTAATTTGAGTCAAATTTTCAGACTAACAAGACAAATAATCTTACACATTCTGAAAACAAGATTATTATTCTTACACAATCAGTTCTTGTTTAGTAAATCAGTCTCAAAACATGATCAAAAAGACGTTTTGGCTGATATAAGGTTTTAAAACTTGGTAAGATGGATAGTTTTTGCAGTGTGTGTAACCATCGTAAGGAAACCKAGAACAATTCTGAAAATTGCATCACAAATCCTGTTCACAAACCTGGCTTAAGATTAAAGACTTCTTCTGAAGCTACGAATAAAAGCAATAAGCAGAGAAAAAAAAGCAGKGCTATAATAAGTGAAGAAAGAGGCTGGTGACATTAAGCAGATCACTTTTTTACAGAGGGAATCCTGCTCGAGCTCTGTGAAACCAGAGTGCCCTCCTGAGAATCAGGCCGGGTCCACGGGGGAGAGTGTGTGTCTGCACCAGGAGCCTCCTGCTCCAAATAAGGAATTTCAAAGTCTTGAAGGGAAGGGAACGTCCAGAATTCCCACACTGACATAAGACACTCACCTCTATCATATTCCTGACATTTCCCATTTTTATAAAAATTGACTCTCAAGTCCTGACTTCAACCTCTTCTGGTCACACTGGTGTGATTTTTGAATGGACTGAGGAGGCAACCCACATCTCATGTGTCTGTGCCATGAAGCAAAGTGGTAACAAGGTGGAAATAGTACACACGTGTAAAGGTAAGCTGACTCTGCAGCTCAATAATGTGATGAAATGGTGACCACCTGTCACAGGTTTAAACATTAGTAACAGATTTATTACCAACAGCAGTTTGATGATGATGATGATGATGATGCATAGAAACTGTGTATTTAGTTTAAAAAAATTAGTTTATCACATAAAGAAAGGCTAAACTAAGTTCTTAACAACTTCTGAAAACGAAGGAGACAACTGTTGTACATTACTGTGATGTTCTCTTCATTTTAGAAAGCTCATGTCTGCGCAGGATGTGGTTGGCTCTGTCAGTGATTCKTGAATGATCAAGGCAGAATAAAAACATATTGGTCCATGCGTCCGTGTTACTGAACTGTTTTATGAAAGAGCCCTATGTTTCCCCCTCCCCGTCCATTTCTCCCACACTCAGTTTCTTCCTTGGCGGGTCAACTCAGTGTTTATGGCTAGTGTATGGTTACAGTGTGTCAGTCAGTGACAGAAYGCAGACCTGTTCCTGAAGGCTTAAGTTCAGCTTCTAAGACAACATACAGCCTACATGGTGGATGCCTACACTGTAGAGAAGGCAGCTGGTGTGTATGTGGTGATGTCATTACTCACAAACTGTACTGTGTATGCTAACACCGCTAACTCATATTGTGACAGCCTCTGCAATGTGATTAATTACAGTTTGATGTGGTCGAGGAGGAATAAGGGAATTAAAGCTTTTTGTTTTTCTTTGGATGTTATGAAAGAAGCTGGCATGGTTCAAACCAGAATYCCTAGCTGYGTTTYCATTGACCATGAAAATGCGCAAATTAGAATTTCGACAATAAATTTGCTCAATGGAAAAACACGTCAATTTTGAAAGAAAAAAAAAGTTTTTYGACAAAATGTTTTTGCACTAGGATGAGGTGGTTTTTCGGCCRTATTGAAATTGGTGTTTTTCGCAAAACTGCAATGGAAACACTTTTTTCGCATCACAGGAGTCACGTGATCAACAACCGGCTGTTTCTACTGGTGAAAAAGA